GTGATGTTTCTGGGAAGTTTTATATATACACTTCACATGGGTGGATCAACTGTACTGCACATGCATGGTGAATCTTGACTGTCAAAGGAAGTATTGCATTTATTTTGCATAAAAGAAGGATGAGAGCTTTTTCTACTGGCAGGAAAAGTCTTTATGCTGTATGGCCTGCTCTAATGAAAGTGTTGGCAATCACTGGTTTAGAACATTTATCTGGCTTCTAAGCATTAATCTATAAATTATCTAAACTGCTACCTTGCTCTTTTAGAAAGTAACACAATGTAAGGATTCAGGAGTTACTGAACAAAAAGGAGGGAGCAGGATTCCTTCCGCATTTTATCCTGACCCTAAACCCATGGCCAAGACGTTATCATTATGATGTTATGTATAAAATAGATAATATCTTTTCAGTTGATACACAAATATGTTTCGCAATAATTTGATAAAACGTCCTGTGTTCCGCAGACTGAGCTTACTGAAAAGAGTATTAATAGTTTCATATTCTTTACCAGAATACAAACTAATTATAGCAGTACCTATATTAATTCTATAAAGCTGTCTTTTCTGTTGTGTATGTGGTTTCTGTTTTTTTAAGGCAGCTGAGAATGGCGCAACGGGAGTTGAGCTGGATCTTGAATTTACTGCGGATGGTGTTCCTATTCTAATGCATGATGAAACAGTAGAAAGGACAACTGATGGGTCTGGAAGATTGTGTGACTTGACCTTTGATGAAGTTAGGAGGCTTAATCCATCAGCAAAGCATAGGCTATGGTAAAAGACATATTGCTGTTTGGAAACTCTTGTTTCAACAGTAACAAAAGATCCATGATAAAGAAAATGATTACTTTGATCTATCAGTGATTAAAATTCTTACAAATTTAAAACTGAGCATGCCATCTGTTACCTTTCATTTGATATCAGTAACATATCGGACTATGTCTCTTTGCCCATCCCTGAAACGGGAACAGTGAACTAGAGTCAAGGTAATTTAAACAGAGTCCACAGGCATCTAATGAGAGACAGGTTACTCTGTACATAAATTTCCCATAAATGGACTGCAGAGCACTTAAGAGATTAGGGATTTCACTATATTTCAAAATTGGCTTGAGTAATTGAGTAGTTAATTTTATTCACATGTATTTCTTGACTGACTGTGTATTGGGAATTTCGCTTGCAATATGTGACTTTAAATTTTTTTAAACGTCAGGATTATATGATGATTATATGATGAAAAGAAGCTAGCCAAATTTCCTGGGTGTTGATTAACTCCTTTCCAGTAGTATCTAGGGGAAAGTATTTTGCATATATTACTAAAATTGTGATAACAATACATCTTACACATGAATCCATTTTAGAGAAGGAGCTTTCTGTTTATACTTTTTTTTATTTCCAAGACACTGCACATTAGGGATTCTCAGATACTGGTAAATGTTACTGCTTATGGGTGTGTGGTGCAGGCAGCATCTCCCCAGTCTGTTACTGGAAAGGTGATCACCTGAGCCACACAGGGAGAACTTCCACGTAGGCAGTTAACGCTGATTAACTGTTGCTGGCTGTCACCCCGTCAGGAATAATTTATTGATGCATGCAGCTGTTTCTCCTGCATGCTCAGCTTGTCTTGCTTACTCTGCCAGACCTTCATTTCTAGCTCAGGACTAGGGCGCACAGTCAAAGCAGGGTGAAGTGGGAGGGCAGGTGCTCAAGAGTTGGAGTTGAATGCTTTTTATTGTAGTTAAGAAAGTAGATGAAAATCTGAGATTAGTGTTTCAGTGTGGGATATAGGGTTGGTGAGCATTGGGTTAGACCGTTAATTTGGAGGGATATGATTGTCTAGTGGGATTTTGGAGGAAGTGGAGGTGGACACATATCCCTGTACGTGTGCAGCCTTGCACTGGGTGAGAGAGCTGCTGCCGCCTATTGCTGGTGGTGCTTGACCCCGTCCCTAATAGTAGAATAGCAGCAAGCAGTGTTTAAGATTGCCTGGGACACAGCTCCATGTACTTGGGGATTTGTGTGTGTCTGAGTGCATTCCATTAAGGAGTTCTCCATTTCTGTAGGAGCACATTCCAGGGTGAAAAGGTACCAACTTTGAAAGAAGCTGTTGTGGAGTCTATGCAACACAATCTTATAATCTACTTCGATGTCAAAGGCCATGCAAACCAGGTACCATTTACTGTACTATGTGCTAAGTCACCTTCACTCAGTCTTGCTTTGGGTCTCCAGCCTGCTTTTGTTGGTCTCCAACTAAAATGTGGTACAGTGCCTTCTCCACTAGGAGTGAGATTGGGTCTATTATTTGTGTCATCCAAAGCTGGGTTGTCAAAAAACAAAGACAACATCTTTGGCCTTCACTCATACCATTCCGTTGTCCCGGGAAGCTGCAATTTACAATTAGTGTGGCTTGTAGGAGCGTTGAGCTCAGCTCACGCCACCACCATATAACAGCAAAGTGAATTCCCAGCCTGTGCTGAGGGGAATTATTATCTTTAACCTCTAAGTAAGGATCCTGCTTTTCTACAGTTTAAATTACTGAATGGAGGTGCATGTAATCAATCATTAATATTTTATACAAACTGGGATTATTTTTTTCTTTAGCATAGTAGAACATGGGAATAAATTCATTTTCCCCCTTAAACTAAACCATAGCTAATATTTCAAAATGTTATCTACGAGACAAGTCTAAGACATACCTCACTTGCCCTTTATATATTTAAGGCTACTTCAAACTCAGCAGTGAGTAACATTCTCAGATAGAATCATAAAAAGGACTTTTGTCGCAAAAATGAAATGGCATCTATCTGCTAATGCTATAAACAAGATGCTGTTTTTCTTCATCCTCTTTCC